GACAAAGACTTAACAAGCAGTAGGCACTAATGCAATGATCCCATCTTTCCCCCTTTAGTAGGATTCAAAGTTGGAGAAGATTCCCCAAGAGTCACCTGCAGGTACAAGAATCGACAGATGATACATCCATGACAGTAGGGCATCCTATCATCATCATCACCAACACCACCATTACCGCCACCATCACTTCTAAAATCTTCATTTATATCCTGGCTTTCCCGCTGGTCAGAATGGTGTAGGGTTTGAGTGTTGGACTAGGACACTGGGAGACCACAGTTTGATCCCTGTTCAGCAGTGGAAACACACTGGGTTACCCTCTGTCAATTCCAGAGGCAGCCATGTGTAATCCCTCTCTTAACAAATTATGCCAAGATGGTAGGATTGTCTTAGAGTTGCAATAAGTCAGAAATGACTTGAAGATACACAAGAACTTTTTCCCAAAACCAAGACACCAGGCAACTGACAAATGAAAGCAATTGCAGCTTTCTAAAACATACAAAAGATTAATATATAAATGTAAACAAACTGTTTATATTATAATATCGATGTAGAACATGAAAATCAAGAAGTAAAAACAAATTTAAATATAGTACAACTGAAAACTAGTACAACGCCCCATTAAAAAGGCAATTCTTTAAAAATATTCAGATCTCTAGTGTCCTTTTTAAAGGAAAACTAATGAACCTATAGCCTTCCAGAAAAAGCACAAAAACAACACGGTTGGTCCATATTAATGGCAATGGTTGAATGTATTGTTTCCTTCCATTGTACAAATAAGTCCCGATTGTCCCATTAAAGCTACTAAAATTTCATAATATAATATTATCATCTTTATTTTTCCCTGTAGGTGTCAAAGGAAGCATTTCCACAACTCTTGCCTCTTGAGGCCAGAATGATACAGATCTTTTATCACAACTTTTTTATTGGAACTACCAACATCTCCATACTATGCAAATGTTGGTAGCATTAGGACTCGAGAACATTAGTTAATAAAAACTCTGAAGCTGGAGAGATGTTTAGCTGGCAGAACTGGACCCCTGTATGGCTTACATAATTCCGTGTCCCAGAAGCAGAGTAAACTGTGCAAAAGTGTAAATACTTTTTGAGCACATTATGCAACCGTGCTGACTTCACATAATTTATAGAACCTGTGCTGATTCGGCATAATATATAGAAGAGTTATTTGGGTACGTATTAAACAGAACTGATCTCATTTGTTCTTATATGCTTTCAAGCCCACTCTCACTTATGATGACCCTACTTGTATTGGCAAGACTTGTTTAGAGGAGGTTTGCAATTGTCCTCCTTTTCAAATGAAAGAGAGTGGCTTGTCCAAGGTCACCAATGAGTTTTCACAGCTAAGTATTAGGGTCTCCTAGAATCCTAGTTTTCTGGAGTTGAGAATGTGTGATGTCCAACATCCAATGGGTTTTCATGGCTAATCAGTGATTTAAACCTTAGTCTCCAGAACTGTAATTCAACATGAACTCTTATGCCATGCTGGCATACATCTTGAGTATATCTGGTTTGCAACCATGTTGTTCAAAACAGGCAATAGAGACAAGGTGTGCCAAAGCTTATGATGACCTGAATTATTTTTTGCAACTCCCAAACCCCTCAGTCGGAAAAGCCATTGATTTAAATATCACTGGGGTCTTATTTTTAATTGCCTTCTCAAACTCAGTTTCAGATGAATTAGGCTCCAAACCATGGGAACGTGCTTGTTTGAGGAACACAAAAGCCTTTGGAAGAGCAAAACTACCAGGTGAGCATGTTTCCCCATCCAGGGCAAAACACCTTAAGTTGGCTCTGGCCAGTGCAAAGACCCTTACAAAAGTGTAAATCACAAATTTGAAAACACTATATTTTTTTTACCTCAGAGAACACCTCTGTAAGAATCTCTAAGGCTTTTTTGTGTGTTTCCATAATCCAGGCCCACTAGAAGTTGATTACAGAATTGAGCTGGGGGTACCTACAAATGCCTAAAGAAGTGTTATCTCTAGGAATCTCTAGGTCCTCCAATGCGACTGTATGGTCAACCTCAATTGGATGTTGACTATAGAATGGCATTGGGAGGCCTACAAATGCCAAGAAAAGTGTTCTCTCTAGAATCTTTGGGTCCTCAAGCATGACTCTATGTTTGGCTTCCACCAAAAGTTGGCCACAGAGTCATGCAGAAAAACTTAAAGATTCCTAAAAACAGCATATTCATCAAATCCACAAATAATCAAATCTGAAAAAGTGGACCTGTTAATGTGGAGGGCAGAGTGATTTTGAAATTGTTGAGCACTGAAGCGCTGATACTCAAGGAATGGTCAAATTTATGGAAAGAGGTACCATTCACTATTCTGCTTCCTTCCTTTTAATGTTTTCCTTCCCCTGATGAATGTTTTTGCTTAATAACACAACTTAAGTGCTGAAGAAGGTTTAAGTTTGAAATGTTGTGGGTATTTATGGAGTAAAGCAGATGAAGGAAACAGACTTCTTATAGGATTTTTAATCTGACCTGATGCTGTTTTTATTTGTTTGTTACACTCACAGAAAATTAAACTGTACAAAACACACATATTGAGAAATAGAGAAGCTGTTTACTTTCCTGGGCTGTATCCATACTGTAGAATTACAGTGCATGGATTGACACCACATTAATTGTCACAGATAAATGCTATAGATTTGTAGGATTTGTACTTTTGTGAGATGTTTACCCTTCTCTATCAGAAAGCTCTGGTGCCACAATAAATGACAAACCCTAGGATTCCATAGTATGCAGCCATGGCAGTTAAAGTGGTGTCAAACTGCTATAATTCTGCAGTGTGAATGGTCTGTTACTCATGCTGTAATGGATAGCATTTTAGATTTTCATCCACATTCTTCTTCAGGTATGTTTTATTCATGAACCATGGGTTTCATGTTTAGCATATTGAAATAATGAATTATTCTCTGCAATTTAAAATAATAGAAGTGGACCCAGGCCCGTAGCCAGGATTTTGATTGGAGGGGGGGCTAAAAAATTTTCAGGGGGGGTTTCGGGGGGGGGCTAAGTTTGGGGGGGGGCTGAGTCTGAGTGAAAGAGGGTCTAGCCTAGCAAACCTTTTGTATCATTACCCCAATACCCCCATGCATATGGGATATATTGAGTATGGTGATCAGATCATGATATGAATAAACATAACAGTTTAAATAATGCACCAATAAGGCCTTTTCGCGAACCACCATGAGAATTTGGGGGGGGGGCTGAAGCCCCTCAAGCCCCCCCCCCCGCTACATGCCTGAGTGGACCAGATATGTGGGACTAAAGGAATCCATTGCAGTAATGGTACAAGGAAGTGCAATTATGTTAGACTAATGCAACTAATAATGCTTTCATAAATGAATGCTTAACATACTTAATACATCTTGAGTGCTTAGTCTGTATATGCCTTGTCAGCTCCACTGATTGAAGAAAAAAAAACAGAAATAGAGATGTGCTGTTATGCATTCTACCGAGAGTGTTCAAAAGAGAAGCACCTGTATACTATTTTTATTTTAGAAGCATTTATTATTCAGTCCTCCTCCACAAATACTTGCCTGGCCTTCTAGCAGGACTGGTGCAGATTGCTTTAGACCTTTGCTTTAATCTTTCGTGCATGCTATCAGATCACATTAGACAGATGACAAGGCCTCTCTTTACATGAAAGCATGAGGTTACTCAACTGAACAAAGATTTTTGCTTTGGCCAGCAACTTGGATCTGGTTTGTCGTGTGTGTAACATGCTTCATTATACAGCAAAGCAGCTTGGTGACTGTAATAGGGCCAGTTAGATGCAGTGGACCATAAAAGATCTGGCCATGATCTCTGGAGGATTATGGGTACTTTAGGCTCACCTCCCCAAAAACCCTTTCCAAGCTTCGAGAGTTAAAAATGTGACTCACAGTTCAATGGATTTTGGCACTTTCCAGCTGCAACCCTAAATACACTTATGAAAGGTTAAGTCCATTGGACTCAGAAGGAATTAGTTCTTTGTAAATATGTTTAGGATTACCCTCCCAGCTCTGGAGTGCTCAAACAAGTAACTGTAGGAACAGGACAGAACTGGTACGATAAAGGATGCCTAGACTAGCTCAGCAGAAAACTATCACAGAAAACAAAATAAAGAAAACTTCCTTGACTCCACAAACATTACATTCCTTGCTATCTGGGCATAAGAGGTGTTATAGTCCAATACATATTGGGAATAGAACGTAATTAAGGGAGGGAAATACTATCAAAGGGAATATCAGAGGATGGGAAGGTAGGAATAAAATCAGTTTTAAAAAAGAAATCCGAAGGCAAAGGCTCTTTCCAATTTTCTGTCTCTGCCAGCAGAATGAGAAGGAAATACCCCCTCCTTTCCTTGTACTAAGTGAATTGTTATGAGCCAAAAGGATGCCTACAAATAGCTAGGAAATGAAACAAGGAGTTCTGGTGTCAAGACTGTTTTAAATTTTACACCACCCTTTGTATGCTTCCTACACTACTTATTACTCAGCAATTCATAGGTAAACAAAAGGAATGGGCAATGCCATAATGAGGGATACCTTCAAAATCTCAATTTGGGGGATGGTCCAAGCTCCTCCAAATGATCTATGTTACTGCACTGTCATTGCTGCTGCTGCTGCTTCTGTTCTTGTGTGCCTTCAAAACTTAGGATCACCATAAGTTAGAAATACTTATGGTGATCCTAAGGTGAACCTATTATGGGGTTTTGTTGGAAATATTTGTTCATGTGGGGCTTGTCTTTGCCCTTCTATGAGGCCAAGAGAGTGTGTCTTGCCCAAGGTCACCCTATGGGTTTCCATGACAGAGTGTGTCATGGAAACCATGGTCTTTGGAGTTGTGGTCCAATGCTCAAACCACTATATCACGCAGACTCTCATTACAATATGCTTACGTATTGTACTATGCTTGCAGCTAGAACAATTTCTGACTTATTCTGATATGTCAGTGAGGATTCTGACAGCTCCAGCAAAAGCATGCCTACCTCTAGGTCCAAAGAGATAGTCCACAAACTCATTTACTTCTTGGTCAAAAGCCTTCAGCTGCTCCTAAAAAAAGAAAGCAGAAAATAAATGTGGGTCAGTTTGTCATCTCATCTATACAGATATATGCAGCTATGATACGTAAATGACATTTTGATGTGCCTGAATAACATGGCTAGTTTGGGGACTGGCAGTATGGCGTGACCCTGGACAATACACCACATATCAGTGCTGATGCTACAAAATAGATATTAGTTGATGTAAGGGTGTGAATACATTTAAATATTTAGTTAGACCATACAAATATAGACATAGAATAGAACTAGGAAAAGCAAAATGTGCCCCCTGGAAGCTACTGGACGCCATGTAACACTCATTATACTATATTTATGCTGTATAGGCCCAATGTGGGGAGGATAAGACATTGCCCACCCTTGGAGCATAACATGACTGGGAGCAGCTCTTTGGCTGCTACTGAATTTCCTGTATGGACACAACATTACATATGTAGTATTGCCTTCCATAAGATGCCACATACTGAGCCACTTTGTGAGGTTTCCCCATGCATGTTGTAATAGAGTGTTTTTTCTTATATCAAGATAATTGGGGAAATATATTCTTCTGAGGAGCTGAATGCAGGTTGCACTGGACTGGTACTGGCGAAATCTGTTTGAGTAAAAGCAAAGACTGGGAGGTAGATGCCCCTATTATTATTATTATTATTATTATTAGTAGTAGTAGTAGTAGTAGTAGTAGTAGTAGTTATTATTATTATTATTAGTAGTAGTAGTAGTAGTAGTAGTATCCCACTTTTCCTTTCTAAAAAAGAGACTCAGAGTGGCTCACAATAAAACCAATACAATACTATTTAAAAACTAAAAATGTACAAACATTAAAACAGATTTAAATATTAACAGTGCTAAAAAGTAAATAGTTTAAACCCTCAAAACCAATTAAAATCCTATAGATAAAACCACAGCACCCCTCCCCTAACTTTATCTTTAAAATCTCCTTCTTTAAAAGCCTGCCTGAATAAAAATGTTTTGGACTGCTATTAGAAAGACAGCAGGGAGGGGGACATTCTGGCTTCCCTGGGCAGGGAGTTCCAGAGTTGAGGGGTAGCCACTGAAAGAGAAGGCTCTCTCTCTCGTTCCCACCAACCGAGCTTGAGATGGAGATGGGACCAAGAGAAGGGTTATGATATCATGATTATGTATTATTATATTATGTATACTGTTTTGTTGGAAACCGCCTTGAGTCACTGATAGGCTGAGAAAGGCAGTATACAAATACAATAAATAAATAAATAAAGGCCTCTCCTGAAGATCTAAGGACCCGGGCATGTTCATACAAGGGGATGCAGTCAGTCAAATAGCCTGGCACCTGAGCTATATAGGGCTTTAAAAGTCATCATCAGCACTTTGAATTGTTGGGTTGCTGTGAGTTTTCTGGGCTCTGGAGCTGCTGCAACAAGAAATATATTCCATCCAAAATGTTATTGTCAAATTGGGAAAAACGTGAAAGAATTAAAGTACATTTGAAAGATGTAGTTGTGTGTGTGTGTCCATCCATCCATCCATGCACATTTTAAAAGTCAACCAGATGATATGTAAGCAATCCTCGGGTCCACAAAAATATGCCACATGTAAGTATAGAACGATAGATTCATCTTGGTTGAGGACAGTGGTTCTCAACCTGTGGGTCACCAGATGTTTCGGCCTTCAACTTCCAGAAATCCTAACAGCTGGTAAACTGGCTGGAATTTCTGGGTGTTCCAGACCAAAACACTTGGGGACCCACAGACTGAGAACCACTGGTCTAGGAGCACACTCGTGATTCTGTCCATAGTTGGAATATATACAATATATCCCCATATCCCCATATCCATAGAACTAATATACTACATGTTTTTTATCAAAGTCCAAAAATGCTCTCTTTAGGCATTTTGTAAGTCCTCCAGTGTACTTGGGTCAGAAGTCCTTTATTTCAATGGGGTTTGCTTTTATCCACACTTTTGCATATCCATGCAAAGTCGAAGAACATATCTTCCATGGATATGATGGTCATACTTTACTAAGAAGGGACACCACTTTCACAAAAACATAAGCTAAGTGTACCTTGCAAAGTATAGTAATTCCTACAGTCATTTCTGATAGTCCAATAAGTACATTGTTTTGGTTTATTACCTAGTTGTTTTTTTTTAAAAAGTCCTCTGATGACCTTAAATCAGCTGGGGAAAACTGCACCTAGAGACTGAAGATGCATTTTGACTTTTGGAAAGTGGGGAAATGTTGGAGTGCACCTCTCCAATGTTATGTAGACTACCCCTGGCACTCAACCTCCACTAGATCTGTGTTGTGGGGCAGTGGCTTTGCTTTCTATTGCTTTACAATTTAATCTGATAAATCATTTTAAAGTAAAAACTGCCTGAATGAATAAGCACAAGCCATTTCACTGCAAAATAAACCACCTATACACAATCTTTAAAAGGGGTAAAGGTTTCCCCTGACATTCAGTCTAGTCATGTCCAACTCTAGGGGTTCGTGCTCATCTCCATTTCTAAGCCGAGGAGCTGGCATTGTCCATAGACACCTCCAAGGTCATGTTGCCAGAATGACTGCATGGAGCGCTGTTATCTTCCAGCAGAAGTGGTACCTATTGATCTACTCACACCATGTTTTCAAACTGCTAGGTTGGCAGAAGCAGGGCCTAACAGCGGGAGCTCACCCTGCTCCCCAGTTTAACCCCCTGCACAATCAATACTTAAAGATTTTCTATCAGTACTATAGGCATGGATTAATACATTTAAAGAAGTTTTAATTTAATTTTACTTATGATTCTAAATATCATTTCTAATTCCAGTTTGCCTAAAAACATAAAAATTGTGTTTGTGTATATTTTGATGTTGCAAGGTAAAATGTCTCACGAGTTCTTTATTCAGATGGCTGGGTGACTTTAAGAATGAGTACTTTAAAACAAGGATCTGGGCCAGGAAACATGAATTGTAAAAAAAAAAGGGGGGATCAATTTTAGCTGATTCTTAGTGTTTTTTTATGTAACAGAGTTGCCATTGTCTAAAGGTTTGGTAGAACATTTTAAAAATACTTTGTTCAGCTCTGCACATGTACAAAAGATGTTTGAATTTATTCTTAGGTCACATTTCATTCCTTCTTTCCTTCACCCTTAGGTTACCATAATTGACATTTATATAAGTGGTATAATGTCATTGTTAAAATGAATTCTAGTGCTAGTGCTCAAATCTTTGCACTGACCCATACTGTGTACAAGCTGATCTACAAATATTGTTACATGACAAATGAGAAATGTGAAACAAAAATTGAGTGCAAAGGTATTTTTTGCACAATTTACATGGCATATCGAAAGTTTTGTATTTCATTCATCTCACCTATGCTATTTATTTATTCATTTAGTGTCAAAAGTATTGCATAAATAAGTATAAAATTGATAAAATAGAGGGAGCACAAGCAGCTAAACAATTTTAGACCAAAAACAGGCAACAGCAACCTCATTGTCTGTAGCTTTAAACAATTCTTCCTCTGTGCATGAGGCAGGGCATTGTGGGCAAGCATACAGATGCAGAGTTGTTTGTTCTGCTCTACAGTTGCACAAGGTGGAGAGTTCTTCTAGGTAGTGCCATTTTGTCAGGCTGTCTTTTGATCTGCCCACTCCACTTTTGAGTCTGTTCAGGGACTTCCAAGTTGGGGGACATGGAAAGAGCCTCCTTGAAGACTGAGTAAATACAGTCAGGCACCCCCTAGGCAACGTTTATTGTAAACAGGTAATCTTTCCAACCCAAAAGCATTGCTTTACAACATCTTAAAACATTTTAAATTGGATGTGTGTTTTTCCCTCCACAAATAGATGAACAGTTGAACACCAAAGGCCTTTATCAAGAGCATTGCTAACAATTATCAAGAGCATTGCTAACTATTAATATAGAAATTTTGTCCCTTGCCAAGGAAGCACTACTGGTCAAAATGTCTGAGGACACTTCGTGTGACATCTTATATAGGAAACACACAGAGACATCACAATGAGAAGAAGTATGCAATGAAATTATTACACACATCATTTTTACAGGAATGGAACATCTGCAATGGCTTTGTTGATAATGAGTCAAATTTGAAGTAAGCGCTGTGAATGTATTATTGTCTGATGGTGTAAAAGCAAAGAGGCAAAGTTTTAATCAAGGAAATCCCCAATTCAAATGTTACATCTGCCATGTGAATAGCGGGCACGCTCTTGGGTAAGGTATTTACTTTCAGCAGCAGTTCCCTCATCCATAACTGGGGGAAATGGCAACAACAGCAGCAAAAACAACTATTACTGTTACCTGTTGTACACGTACTTGCAACTTGGCTAGATTATCTGTGATCGCTTTTGTTGGCTTGTCTTTGTTGGGACTTGTAAATTTGCAGGTGGTTTGCTATAGTGGTGCAGCAGGCCCTCCATATTCATTGGGTCTAGGATTCCCATGAACATGGGGGGGGGGAGGATGTTTAAATCCTAAGGATCTCTATGTCCTGCAATGCAACCCCATGGTCAACTTCTACTCTACGAACATTGATCACAAGGTCAAACCTAAAGATTCCTAGGGAAAACATATTAATAAAATATGTGAATAATCAAATATTCAAAAGTCAACCTCTCAAATGTGAAGGGCCAACAATAGTAGTGACTTATTCATATGGAAATGAATTTATGGAACGGTTCAGACAATGTTTTTGGACAATGTGATGAACAGTGAAGATATTGGTTTTATATGTTTTTAAATGGTTTTATCATATGTTTTTATAAATTTGTGTAAATGTTTAAATTTTATATTGTATATGGTTATGACATCAAATGGCTGTCAGGTTGTAAGCTGCCTTGAGTCACCTTCAGGTTTGGGAAAGATAGGATAGAAATATTGTAAATAAATAAATAATAACTCTACTTGCACAGTTGGGTTCAGTACTTTGGATAGTTCCTTCAGAATTCAGACTAAAACCAAGAACAAAGAACAAATTCACTGCTCTACTGATATGGAAGTCAATAGGCAACAT